TATATATATATATATATATATATATATATGCATAGAACGAGTTTCCGGAGTAGTGATAGCGGATGGATGACCTTTTGTATGCACTATGGAGCTCGAGTTCCCACTTGCAGCCATGTTAGTTGACAAGCTTGGACCGCTGGTTCTACACCCTGATGGCTCTAGAAATATCTCCTGATCTTGAACCACTGGTCCCGTTCCCTCGGGTTTACACCGCGCACACGGTGTTTGGGTGGAGGCATGTGTAGCTCAGCACAAACTGTGCGTGGCGGCATCCATTCTCCATTGGTGTTGTTCACTGTTATAGGTCAGCGGCTTTAGTTCGTCTTTAGGAGAGCTCGTAGGCTGCACCACAGCCTTCCCTCTTGTGTGAGACTGACAATGCCTCTCAAGAAGATCGTACAAATGGCTGACAAGAGCTTTTATGACGACCTTTGTGTTTCCACTTTTGTTTTGCAGAATCGTCTGTAAATTGCGCACATTTCAAGTTCCCCATCAATATGCCAACCAGTACTTGTATCGATGCTTCTGTTTAACCTCCAGTATCCACCCAGGGACACTACAAAGGAACCAGAGATTGGTACAAGTGTCACCTGAACGATTTCCTTCACCTTTAATTGATTTATTGATCATTTCACGGGGCTGGAGGAATACGATACACCAAAGTACTAGCACCTAGGACAAGCTGAAACCGTGTTGGAGTATTAGTAACCCGAGTGCTGATGGTTGGTCTGGTGACTGTTGGTTTGTTCGCTCGAGTTTTGTAATTGGCTTCGAAAAACCTTCCGTCATCACTCCAGGAATCGTCATCGGGTGCGATTAATGCTGCCTGATAACGTCTCCTCGAGGGTGGCGGGACGTTAGCAAACAAGTATCAAGCTAGGCGGACTACCACCCTATTGTTAAATTCAGACGTCATCGACTGAAATCTGATCACTACAAAATGAATGCAGTAGCTCTTCTGTCGAAGAAACTGTGGGTCGCCATGCTTAAATTTTTCAGAAAAGAAACGTGAAAACGGACATGTACGGTTCTATAACCAAACTTTATTCTCTACTTACCGTATGAATCGGGTTCAGCTAACGCGCCAAGGTCGGATTTTTCTATTGGAAGGTAAGCAGTAGAGACGGGTTCCTCTTCAGAAGTACTCTAGATGTAGACAAACATAGTGATGTTTCTCAAGAAGTTTTACTTGCATCTTTTTAGAAAAATTCATTGGATGCTAATCATCCAGAAGGGTGAGGCGTTGTCTGAGGAACTGACCCCATTTCAGATGTCGGAGTTGATGGGACACAGTGTTGTGAACACAATAGAATCATTCCGACAACTGAGTCACACTGTGAAGTTGACAGAGCGATAAACGAAACTTCCTGAAACATTGAATATACGTGGTTTCTCCCCTGAAGGGAGTTTACCAACGGGTAAAACCACTTCAATCTTGCGCTGTGAGATTTGGTTTAGTGTTGATAAATCTTGACAGATAACCTCCTAACTCCCAACAAAGAACACTCTAAATGCTCCCTAGTGCAACATTGTTTGTCAACAAAGGTCTGGTTACGAACTTCGTTTGCTGACACCAACTAGAAATCCAACAAATGGTGTGAAGGAGACGGTTTGAAAAGATGGGTGGTGTCATCTTTACGAGGCTAGAGCTGGATATGTATTCCCACCAGAGGACTGGCCGAAATCTCCCCTGGGAGGAATTTCGCTGCTGATGTAAGCGTCAAACGAAAAAGACCAATTAAGGTGGTTAGTGTCTCCTGAAGATTGTCTTTACAGAATGGGACAAATCTGTGATGTCACAGCCAACACATTCCAGTCAGCGCTCGATTTAAGAGTTTCCCTTCTTAAATAGATCGATCTTGATAGATATAACTTTTCACGAAGGACCACTCTTTAGGCTCTTTTTGACAGTAATAATCTTTTTAGGAAGACGAATTTCTGGAAAATAACGCTGCCCGTCAACTCGTTGAGGCCATCTTCCTATAATGTGACAAGTACATGGGACGGATTTATTGTAAAGCCATTGAAGTGTTGCCAGGATAATACTATGAAATGTGTTTCATGAAAAAATGTATACAAATTTATTCCCGAAGGGTAGAAGTGGCATTTTTAGTTCCGTTTTTGTCACACTGAAGGTGGCACAAAATAGGGTTAGTATTTCAGGTATCATCTTACGACTGTGCCCCCTGACAGAAACCCGCTAACAAAGACCAGTCCCTGTGAGCTATCCATGTTCGAGATTACCATCTTAGTTGTTCAACTTCAACCTTGCTTTTCTGCATGAAAGGATATGTTCGCAACTAAACTTCTTCCGCATTTCATCCCCAAACATAGACACACTCACCTCATTGTTTTCTTTTGTAGGCCACCCTCTTACAGTCTTGCAAGCAGCAATATTTGTCGAAATAGAACTTGATTTCTTTAGATATGGTTCTTCGTCACATAACTCTCCGTGCTCTGATAAAGGGTCTATCTGAGTAGCCGAAACTGTTAGTCCTATGGGTTGGTTTCCGTCCGTCAGTGGTTGTGAAGAAAGACTTGTATTCAGCAAAGCCTCGAGATATTCGTCAAGTTGTTCTGTTGGGACAACACTGAAATAAACGATAAATAATAGTGATCCTCCTAATGGTATTTCAAACAGCGACGATTTCAACTTATTGAACCAGCATGAAAAACCGCAGCTATTCCTCAACGGAAAACTCTTCAAAGAGGGGCTTTCTCCAAAGACCGACCGCCAGTTGGTGTATCCCTGACCAAAAAAACAAGGTAGTGGCAGACAACCGATTTCTTCCGTTTCGACCCTCCTGCATCGGTCCGAGTGAAACCGCTGAAAAGGCTGTCAGTTGGAACTTGACCACACCAGGTTTTTAATCTAATTCAGCTGGAAAACCCTTATCAGTAATAAGTAACGAGTCGACCATTTAAAAGACTGTACAAAGTTTCATAAAGCTTTTGTTTGGTCAAAATTGTATATGGAAGCCTGAATGAATAGCAGAGAGGTTCGTTCAATGCAGTTTGTTCACACTACATACATACTCCGATAGAATATGTGGTGCTAACCACTAAAGCTATAACGTGAGTGAGAAACTGGCCGGTGTAAGATTAGCCTAGGCTCAATCCCTCATGTACGTAGGCAGTTAGAAAATTTTTCAAGGCACCTGATGGTACAACTCACATTAAGTCAAGCAAGGCGAAAAAAGTTCCACCTGACCATTTCTTGTTCATTTTTTAAGCCCCGCATTGTCAACACATTTGTTTGAGTCATCTTAACGTGGCGTTGAAAAAAATAGCCCCATGAGGAGGTAACGCCCTAGCACGGGTGAGCATATCACAGACAGATCATAAAATCTCATGTTGAATGCATGTCTCTGATCATGCTCTGATCAACGTAATGTAGTGTATGCAAACAACAGACTTTTCTAGCAAAAACCTCACCTTCGGTTACACTACTGAGCTGATCTCACTTGTCAGCGATGACTCTACCATACCTCTGGATTGTTTGTGTATGATCTCGTGAATTTCTTAAAATAAGCAAAACTCTTTGGGAAGAACCATTCATTATAAAATAAAAGATTGCCATCACCCGGATTCAACTTACCCAATGGCGTCCATAACTTGCTGCTCAGCCATGCGTCTTTGTTGCTCAATGTATATATCACTCAAATCGTTCGGGTCAGCCAATGCCGATCGAGCAACAATGAGCCGCACTGGCACTGAAGGTATACTTTTCTCAGTCAGTGTCAATTCACTAGCATTGTTCAAGACTGCCTTTTCCGGACTTGAATCGCTGTTCAACCTGCGGAAGACGGTTGATCCCTCTTCAGCTCCACTACCGTCCTCTTCAGGGTTGAGTCCAGTGGCTAACAGCTTTGCAGAGATCGTGTGACGAAGGACTGTGGCAACTTGATCCGGCCCGAAACCTCGAACATTAAAGTCTTGAACACAGACAATGTGATCACCAAGCCGCAAACGGCCATCCTAAAATAAGAACAATTCAATGAACAGGCTCCGTACAGCTTATTCCATAATGCGGACCGAAAATTCCGGCGACAGTAAAGAATGTAACATTCGGAGCTGTTACAGATACGTCGTCCCTTGTGCTTAGCCTTTGTAAATATGTGAACAACACACAGAATTAACCGGATATCACCCTATGTTATCGATTGACTCTGTCCCATTTGCCCAAACAATTTCCGCATACTTCGGCTGTGAATGTAACATTTTTGCTTCAGTCAACAATTTGGAAGGACAGTAAACATTACAGTGCATATTCTTCTTGAATAAAACGAACTGGGAACGATGTGCTGAATATTGCGCGGTTTATTTATTAACAGCAATGCAAATTGCATAGGTTTATTACGATTGCGACTCGAAAATATGACTACATTCGGTTATATGCAGGAGGGAGAGACAGACCGTGGGAAAAGACAACCTATATCTGGTGACGAAAGTGAGCAGTACCCACAATTGTGTTCGGAAGATCTTTGAGATTGATAGAATACTAGACTAGGTAACTTCAAAAATAGATGGAAGTAGTATAGATAAGTAGGGGGCAATAATGATGCCAGTCTGTGGTTCCTACCTACGGATTTCACAGCATGTTCAACAAGGTGAATTAGGCGTCAGAGATCTGACTGAGACAATACAATGATAGCACCGTTTAGAAATGGTACAGAAATAGTCCAAGTTCGGGCGTTTTTGTGTCTGATAGATATTCTCCCCGAATAAGCTTTTGTGCAAAGAATGCGGCCTTGGTTGTGATATCTCTGAAATGTTGGGTCTACTAATGTTAGGTTCAACGGGGCAAACACAGCTAGTCAGAGAACTTCAACTGAAAACTGTTGCAGGAAGCCATTTCGCATCAGGACGTTCTTGTGATTCGGTCATCTACAAACATTTGACCACCGTTGCCTTCACAAAACAGTTAGTATTATCTGGAAGCAGATATTCACAATGAAACAATCAGTAAGCAAGTGAAAATTGCTAGACCGGCATATGAAGTGTGCCAACTTGAGGCGGTTCTGCATTCAGTAAGTTTAACAAATACTGAAAGCTGTATTTTACACAAAGAGCAGTTATTGGTGAAAGCTTCAAAATGTGGATGAAAGGGGAAGCGGCTACTGTTTGGTTCAGGGTTTTGAGATCTGAGTGTTTTTTTTGTCTGAGGTTCACGTGATTTCCCTCGTACCTCGTTGAACCCACCACAAAACACGATACTTGACCCAACCCAGTGACGAGCATGCTGTCCAACAAGCGTATTGCGTCAATCCCCAGGAAGATTCTCAGATGTTGTCCAAATACTGTCTTTTGGAAGCAAATCTGGTTTTGACGGGAAACTCAACTAAATCCAACCAGTTCTCGACGTGTTTTCAGTAGTGTGTTGTGCCCGATCGTTGTTTCACTAGTTTTGAAAGAGGATGTTGTCTGGTTTCGGACCGTGTTCTCCAGAAACATCAGGCTTTTGCCCTTAAATACTGCTCATCTGGTCCGCAATAATTTGGCTTTCATTCTGATGCACAAAAGTACAGGTGGTATCTGAATAACACAACTGACGAGTAAAATCATTTCCTGTGGAATAAATACACTTATTTTTTATTCAGTTTGCCTAAGTTGAATAAATCCATCAGGAACTTCTGTCATTCAGTTGTTGTTTGAGTTAACGTAATCGACAGAAGTTAAAAATTACCACTGACTCAAGCAGTTAGGCACTTATCCGACTAGTCAAGTATGTTCTCTGGAATCTTGGGTGCTTGATTTCCATTGGAAAGTGGACCAAATTGTCGTGTGCTAGTTTATCAGTTCCCTCTCCTGAAGCAGACGTACCTCGCCTACCTCCCCCCTCCCAGTGGTTTTTGCTACCTTCATGTGAGCTGCGAAACTTAATTCGGACGTGTTACATTGAGTGAGGTGAGGCACCACGACTCCCATCAAAGAATTTTTTCATATACAGACGGCGGAAGTCAGATCTGATGAATGTTTACTCGTGTCAATGTCAACCGATGAATAATCGATAGAGATGAGAAGATGAGCTTGTATGACAAACTCCTCAATGTTAGTTTGCAAGTAAAGAAATATATGTGGGAGATAATCAGTTTGTCTGGAGCGAGAAGAACAAAGATGACTGAAACGATCTGAGACGATACGTGAAAATACACGCGATTTTCTGCATTCATCAGTGCTGTTTAATTCACATAAGAAAACACGATGGTTAGGCACGTAAATATATTAAGATATATGCTAATTGAAAAACCAAAGAGTTAACCTACAAGACGGAGGAGCGAAAAATGTGGCCGAGGGAGAATAAATCGTACGCGTATTTGGCCTAGGGTTTCACCTTTAAGGAATGAATCACAGGTCAGTGGACAGTATTTAAGTGTTTTACTTATCAGTGCGTCTGACAACATTCGTATCAAGAATTCATAGATTTATTAGGCAAACATTGGACAAACAGAGAAATCTCGAAGTGTAATCTACTGACATCAAAATGTCACAAGAAAGTATCGTGTTTCAGTTTGAAGTCAGGAAGTTTGAGCCGGGCTGTTTAGTGCGCTTGAGTCATCCACAGGCAGGTAGATTTATACTGCCTTAGTTTTGACACCATAATGAGCTTAAAACCAGCACGAAACGTCGCTCAGCAATAGACATTCGGAGTAGGGGGTTAAAAATACCTGAAACGCGACTGATGTCAAGAAATGTTTCGTCCAACAGCGATCACAGAGCACTGCCATTCAGAGGTCAAGACTCATCAAAATTTCAAGCATTGGCTCCCGAGACAGAAGAGTGTGTTCGTCCGGCCCCAAATTATTGAAACACAGGTACCTGTCTACGTAGAGGATAATGTATATTTGTGTTTCTCTTAGCGCGCTACAGGTCATAGATAAGGGATGATCTTCTCTGAGGGCTAATTATAGACGAACTAATTGTGGTAAATAAGCGGCCGAAAACAATTAGCGGCGGTGTGTTTCGGTCCAGTCCAGGTACTCAATGGCGGCAACATAACGGGCTTCACGTGACGGGCCTTAAGATCAAATCACTGACCAAGGGTATGTAAGGCTTGGAGAGGCTTAGTAATAGCTCCACCTTGTCGGACCTTTCACAGGAGTGGCATTTGTGATACTGGGTTGCCATTGCTTCCAATAAAATGATCTGGATGGCATACAGTACTTTATTTACCTCGTGGCTGTAGATCAATATGGATCGAAAAGTTTACGCCCTCCACGGTTGGCGTAGTTTCGCAATACACCGGGTGCCTTTGATGGCTGTCTCTAATTTGCAGGATATATGAACTGCCCCACGATCCTCGATCCCAGCGGATTGCAGACTTCGTGCTTCGTCCCATTGTGTCACTAGCCAGGTTCTTCAACCAAGGGCAGTTGATGGGACCACTTCCTTAATTCGACCAGGTAACACCTCGCCATCACACAGTTCATGGACTAACGTTACGTTTGTTATCAATAGATATGTCCTTCTATGGGTTAAGCCTATCTATGCTGCGAATCACCATCGGTATGGATCCCGCAGCACTTCAGGAAATCTTGAACCCGCAACTTCGCGGCTACTCGTTCGATCACTTGGCCGCTCAGCTGCAAGCAGCTAACCAGCAGAGTGTCCCACACTTGGACAGGAATCCACATCACGTGGTCAGGTGCTGACTGGCTTTTCGAGAGCCTCCTTCTCAGAGGGAAGTTTCACTCGACTGGTGAATTACTCTTCCTTCCAAACTAACTAAATTGATGATAGCTTGAGGCGATTTTGAAATTCGCAATTAAGATTTCCTCCTGCGAGTGAAGCGGCGTGTTACTAACGTACACTCTTAAACCGTGCTTCCAACCACGCTCGCCAATTCCTTGCTGGCACATTCAAATCTATAATCAAATAACTGCAAGTCTTTTGCTTTCTACAGAACTTCCGTGAAGTCATGATTTTTACCTCCCGTTCGGCCACAATCAAAGGCGTGAACGTACAGATGCGCCATCACAAAAACAATCTACTGGTTTTCCTCCTTGTATCCCCTGCAGGCGTTTCACTGTCCTCACGAATAATCATCGGTTAAAAGACTGGTCTGGTTAGAATCTTGAGGACTTCTTCCACCGTGACCCCATAAATGAAGAAGTAGCGGTGTTATATCACCTCTAAGTGCGAGACAATCATACTGCTGATAAGGCGCTTGTGGTCAAACGGTTTGGAAGGTCGCGGGTTCAAAGCCAATTGGGTTTCGTGATATTCAGACTGCTGATTGATACAAATAAGGCTAGAACAGCTTTATAGTGTCTCTCGGATTTTCAGCATAGGTTGACTTCACTTACAGGAAAAAAATCTACATAAAATTCCAGGCTCCTCGATGATAGCAACAATCCAATCTCCCCTTCAGATTCTAACGCGTGATTCTGCTTGAGACCAGACGCCTCCGGTCCAAAACAAGCTAGCGTCACTACTGTTTAAAAAAGATCAGACAGTGCTTTGTTTGAGTGGGTTCTACTCATTATCTGTCTTCGTGTACCAAGGCTTACATGCTCTTTTCTGGACTAGTGAAGATCATGCAGACAAGCGTGCCCTGTTTTTCACAACTGACTGTAACAGTCGTTGCCAACATCCGCATGCAATTCTCCAGAAAGCCCGAAAGTCCGATGTCATGATATCAGCCAATGATTTAAACGCCAGTGCAGGCCACCTTTCGGGCGGCCATGCGTATCTAGGTGATCGTTTCTTTCATGGTACGGTAGAGTTACCTATGAACTTGTGTTGGGCCTTGCCGAGTCGCATTGTAATCAAATACAGTTTACGCCCATTTGTTCAGGCCTACCACTCTGATCGACCAACATAGGTCATCCTCTGGTGTGCACAAAAACCTTGAAAAGTTTGATGAGTGGATAGCTACCGGTTGGATGGAAGCAGCAAACACAGCCAGATTATTTGATCAAGCAGTCCTGCCTGGTTATCCGAACAGGCTCAGCACCATTCTCAGATCTCTCGAGTTT